GACTCTCCTTGGCGTGGAAGGCAAGCTTGGCGATCCGGATATTATGTTTCCTTCCTTGTAACTGACTCCATGTAAACCCTAGCCCTCTCCGGTGTCTATATAAACCGGAGAGGTTGGTCCTTAGAAGGCCGATCACAATTACAATCATACCATCATAGGCTAGCTCTTAGGGTTTAGCCTCTATGATCTCGTGGTAGATCTACTCTTGTACTACCCATATCATCAATATTAATCAAGCAGGAAGTAGGGTTTTACCTCCATCAAGAGGGCCCTAACCTGGGTAAACATCTGTGTCCCTTGCTTCCTGTTACCATCAGCCTTGACGCACAGATCGGGACCCCCTACCCGAGATCCGCCGGTTTTGACACCGACAATGCCCACGGATACTTGAGGTGACAATGGAGTATCTAGGTGACATTAGGGTTTTGGTTGATTTGTGTCTTAAGGTCTTATTATAGTATGAATTCTATGATAGATTGAACGGAAAGAATAGCTTCGTGTTATTTTACTACGTACTCTTGAATAGATAGAACAGAAAGGATAACTTTGAGGTGGTTTCGTACCCTACCATAATCTCTTCATTTGTTCTCCGCTATTAGTGACTTTGGAGTGACTCTTTGTTGCATGTTGAGGGATAGTTATTGATCCAATTATGTTATTATTATTGAGAGAACTTGCACTAGTGAAAGTATGAACCCTAGGCCTTGTTTCCTACCATTGCAATACCGTTTACGCTCACTTTTATCGCTTGCTACCTTGCTGTTTTTATATTTTCAGATTACAAAAACCTATATTTACCATCCATATTGCACTTGTATCACCATCTCTTCGCCGAACTAGTGCACCTATGCAATTCACCATTGTATTGGGTGTGTTGGGGACACAAGAGACTCTTTGTTATTTGGTTGCAGGGTTGCTTGAGAGAGACCATCTTTATCCTACGCCTCCCACGGATTGATAAATCTTAGGTCATCCACTTGAGGGAAATTTGCTACTGTCCTACAAACCTATGCACTTGGAGGCCCAACAACGTCTACAAGAAGAAGGTTGCGTAGTAGACATCAGCCATCATCATCTTGTGCTTTTGATCTCCATCTCCAAAGCATCATCATGATCTCCATCGTCACCGGCTCGACACCTTGATCTCCATCGTAGCGTCATGGTCGTCTCTCCAACTATTGCTTCTACAACTATCGCTACCGCTTAGTGATAAAGTAAAGCAATTACATGGTGTTTGCATTTCACACAAAATAGCGACAACCATAAGGCTCCTGCCAGTTGCCGATAACTTTTACAAAACACGATCATCTCATACAACAACATATATCACATCATGTCTTGACCATATCACATCACAACATGCCCTGCAAAAACAAGTTAGACGTCCTCTACTTTGTTGTTGCAAGTTTTACGTGGCTGCTACGGGCTTCTAGCAAGAACCTTTCTTACCTACGACACAAAACCACAATGGTGATTTATCAAGTTTGCTGTTTTAACCTTCAATAAGGATCGACCACAGTCAAATTCGATTCAACTAAAGTTGAAGAAATAGACACCCGCCAACCACCTTTATGCAAAACTAGTTGCATGTCTGTCGATGGAACCGGTCTCATGAACGTGGTCATGTAAGGTTGGCCCGGGCCGCTTCATCCAACAATACCGCCGAATTAAAATAAGACATTGGTGGTAAGTAGTATGACGATCACTGCCCACAACTCTTTGTGTTCTACTCATGCATATCATCTACGCATAGATCTGGCTCGGATGCCACTGTTGGGGAATGTAGCATGCAATTTCAAAAAATTTCTACACTCACACAAGATCTATCTAGGAGATGCATAGCAACGAGAGGGGGAGAGTGTGTCTACGTACCCTCGTAGACCGAAAGCGAAAGCATTTCACAACGCGGTTGGTGTAGTCAAACTTTCTTCGCGATCCGATCATGATCCAACCGATCTAGTGCCGAACGGACGACACCTTCGAGTTTAGCACACATGCGGATCGATGGCGTCTCCTCCTTCTTGCTCCAGCAAGCGGGAGAGGATAAGTAGATGGGATCACAACCAACATGACGGTGTGGTGGTGATGGTGGTGGTGGAGCACCGATAGCGCTTCGCTAAGCGTCGCTGGGACGAGGCGGTGGAACTACGGAGTAACGGGAGAGAGAGGGGCGCCAAGGGCTTGGTGTGTGATCTTGGGGCGCCCCCTCCCCTCTATATATAGGTGGAGGGGCGTGGCAAACAGCCCCTCCAAGCCCTAGGGCACAACTAAGGGGGAGAGGACTTGGACTCCAAGTCTAATCCTATTCCTACTAGGACTCCTTCCTTTTTTTGCCTTCCCTAGCCACATGGGCTTTTGAGGACTTGGTGCGCCTAGCCAAATAAGGCCATGTCACCTCCCCGCAGCCCATGCTAGCCCTTGGGTCATGGTGAACCAACTTGTGGACTTTCGGACCCCTCCGGAATCCTTCAGAACCTTCTAGAAGCTTCCCGGTACAATACCGAAAAAACTGCACCTTTTTCCAAAACCCAAAATATGACTTCCTATATATAAATCTTTACCTCTCGACCATTCCAAGACTCCTCGTGATGTCCAGGATCTCATCCAGGACTCCGAACAACATTTGTTTACCACTCATCAAATATCCCAATAATACTCTAGCATCAACGAACGTTAAGCGTGCGACCCTGCGGGTTCGAGAACTATGTAGACATGACCGAGACACTTCTCCGATCAATAACCAATAGTGGAACCTGGATGCCCATATTGGTTCCTACATATTTTACGAAGATCTTTATCGGTCGAACCATTATGACAACATACGTTATTCCCTTTGTCATCGGTATGTTACTTGCCCGAGATTCGATCGTCGGTATCTTCATACCTAATTCAATCTCGTTACCGGCAAGTTCCTTTACTCATTCCATAATGTATCATCCTGCAACTAACTCATTAGTCACTTTGCGTGCAAGGCTTTTTATGATGTGCATTACCGAGAGGGCCCAGAGATACCTCTCCGATACTCGGAGTGACAAATCCTAATCTCGATCTATGCCAACCCAACAAACACCTTCAGAGAAACCTATAGAGCATCTTTATAATCACCCATTTATGTTGTGACGTTTGATAGCACACAAGGCATTCCTCCGGTATCCGAGAGTTTTATAATCTCATAGTCGGTGGAATATGTATTTGACATGAAGAAATCAATAGCAATAAAACTGAACGATCATAATGCTAAGCTAACGAATGGGTCTTGTCCATCACATCATTCTACTAATGATGTGATCCCATTCATCAAATGACAAAACATGTCTATGGTTAGGAAACTTAATCATCTTTGATTAACGAGCTAGTCTTGTAGAGGCATAGTAGGGACACAGTATTTTGTCTATGTACTCACACATGTATCAAGTTTCCGGTTAATACAATTCTAGCATGAATAATAAACATTTATCATGAAATAAGGAAATATAAAATAACAACTTTATTATTGCCTCTAGGGCATATTTCCTTCAATTATGTCAAGCCATTCAGGCAAGTGGAGCTGTGTGGTGGGCCCATTTGGTGCCCCCTGCACCGTGTTATGCCCCCTCAACCTATTATATATTTCCTGAAACCCCCCGCACCAATTTTTCGCGATTTTTCTGCCACCGCAAGTTCCTGTTTCGGGGAGATCCAATTGGAGGCCTGTTCCCGCGTGTTGTCGGAGGGAGAATCCATCATCGGAGCCATCTTCATCGACCTTGCTGCCACCATGTCCAGGTGTGAGTGGTTTCCTTAGGACGTTGGATTTCTAGCAGTAGCTAAATGACACCCTCTCCCTTATGCCTCAATACAAGGCTCTTGTGAGCTGCCTCACATGATCAAGATTAATTTGATGTAATCGGTGTTGTGTTTATTGGGATACGATGAATTGTCACTTTATGATCATATTTTTCATGAATTTTATTGACTTTTCTATGGTTCCATTTGCTGCATAACTAAGTAGTCATATATGCTCACCGATCTATTTTTCTTCTTTGGCCAAGTTTGATTAGTAGTTCTTCAGAGTGAGTGGTGTATGATAGCGGGTTCAATCATGCAGTGTGCTATATACGAGTGACAAGAGGTGACAAGACATGTATTGTATTGTATTGTTGTTACTAAGAATAAAACAATGATTTTTTATCACGCTTGGGTGATAGTTTTATTGTCTACATTGTATCATGGTGCTTATTGCAATGCTATGTTTGTTATGAACTTAATACCCTGAGATGCATGTGGATAACAATCTTTGGGTTGAGTATTAGTTGTATATACTCTTGGATTAATAGTTTACATGTCACTGACATAATATCTATATTAGATTATGCCATGAGTGATCATAATCATAAATATTGCAATTTAATCGCCGTTGAACTGTTATTTGTTCACGACAACACATCTATTTTGCTTGGAGAGATGGCTCTAGTGATGAGACTATGTACCATTTTATTCTATCATTGCAATCAATCATTATTATTTTGTTTTCTCGATGTACCATTTTATGCTGTGAGTGGTGAGACTATGTACCTGAAATAACTCGTGCTTACTACTTTTCCAGCTTTTTTTCTCATGATAAAAATATATGCTTAGCTTTAGCATTTTCTCTATTCAGCTGATGTTGTTAATAAAATATTATTAGGACTTAAATATAATCTTCAAAATGTAGTAAATTATGTTATTTATCTTTCACAGTTTTGTATTCCATGACAACGCACTGGCATTCAAATAGTAGACACAAATTTATCCAAAAAAACTGTAGAGATTTTATTTTTGAGACATTTTTTTAGCAACTTTTGAGACATATAAATGGTGCTGGACGAGCGAGGCCAGACACGAGCCCAGTTTCGCCCTTTAAGCCCATTCGGCTCTTAACTAGGTCGACCCGGAAAGTGCTTAGCAAGCTACAGTAGCTACCAGGACCGAGCTAAGCTCAGATCGGCGGCCGAGAGCTAGGGTTCAGGCGAGATTAACTAATGGCCTCAGTCGCAGCTCGGCGGAGGCAGGAGCTGGCGGCGGAGGGCCAGCGGCACCTCGAGGAGACGATAGCCTCCGCTTTCCAGATCCTTTCCTCCATGAACGACGAGCTCTGCAACCCCGCGCTCTGGTCCTCCTCCGCCACCGCCACCGCCGCTTCCGCCGCTTCCGCCGCCTCCCAGCATCCCCACCACCAAAACGCAGCTCCCCCACCACCCCACTCCGCCGACTCCGACGCTGATGCCATGGGGGGAGCCGCGGGGGGCTCTGGTGGTTCGCTCGACGAGGCGAGGCACCGGTACAAGATCGCCGTGGCGGCTTTGCGCGCGTCCATTGCCGCGGTGTCGCCCTCTACTCAGGTGAGAACTTGATGGACTGGGCCATGCGATCCTAACATCTATCATACCGCGTGTGAACCTGAGGAGAATGTGCGGCGGGATCCATGTACCTTCGGTGGGAAAGATTGTAGAACAACTATCCGGATGTTAAATTAGGGACAGTTCAATGGTACAGCTTTGAAAAATGGCATTTCGATTTTGGAGATATGGGTCTATTTGAAACTAGTGAGTCAAGTGCCTTTTTCTTGTCTGACTCGATAATAAATCAATAAAATGCATAACATTTTTAGCAAACGAATTTTGCCACATTTGAGCAGTTGAAAATGCTAACCATTATTTCCCTAGAACAGAGGAGATATTGAGTTTTTGGTCATTAAATGGGGGCGAACAAGAACTTTGGGTAGATACGACTTGTTTATCCTACTATATATCTATATGAACCGAGATTTTGGTTTCGGGAAGGGGGTTGATTATCATCCTGCTCCGTGAACAGATTTATTACTAGTTATGCTTATGCCATTCTGGATAAAATTTGCTTGCTGTAGCTATGATTGAATCAACAGAACGAACATCCAGTGTCGATCTAATTCCCTCTGTTTCCACTTATATTAAAATCAGTGCTCGTGATTACTAGGTTCTCATTTTGTTACGCGTCTATAATTATGTCGGGATATTTTCAGGAGATGGGGCCAACAGAATCCAAAGGTGATCAAGCCGAGATTGAGAGATTGGAAGAGCGTGCATCTTCTTTGAGAAAGGTACTCCCTTGAGAAGGTCTAATCATTATGATTGATACCATTAGGCATGACTCAGGATATTATCAGGAACCAGTCAGTACTTGGTACCAGATCAGTCGTTGAACGTCAGATGCACCTCCAAGTAACCTATTTTGAATGAGATGTCCATATTGGTGCCTATGACATATTGATATATGGCTTGATAATTTTTTTAAATCTCATGACAAAAATGCCTCAAAAAACAGGCCGGTCTTTGGCTGCAAACCTAAAGTTTCCCAGACAGAGCCCCTCGTTCTTTTCTTTGTCTTGGTTCTGGTTTCCCAGTGCTTGGATTGTCTTGTTCATTCTGTTGTATACATGAAGAGTATGTTCATTCTACATGTTTCTGGAATTATTCTGGTAAAGGCGCAGAAGTGCATCTGTTTTTTATGTGCCATCATCTGCATGCCTTGAATTTACCAATGTTGATGTATGTCTTTAGAGCAGTGCAACAAGGTTTTCCAGAGGTTGGAGCGCACCATCCTTTCTATATAGAATTAAAAATGGATCATTTTAAGTACCCCTAGCAATCACTAGAAGCTATTCCAGTGTGTCCCTAGTGGAAGCTTCTCTGTATAGTACTTCCTCCGTCCCAAATTATAAGATGTTTTTGGTAGGCTAAAGTCTTATAATTTGGGACGGAGGTAGTAGCATCCATGCTGTCTGGAAGTTCAAATCGGCTGTATGGCAACTTACAATATCCGTCTTTTAATCCAGGAACATGTAACATAACGTACATTTTTCTGGTAAGGAAGTCTAACATTGGGATTCTGCTGCAGGAAATTGAAAGCAAAAACAAACAGCTGAAACTCCTCATCGATCAACTCCGTGATCTAATATCAGATATATCAATGTGGCAAAGCCCTTGCTCAGTGTGAGTTGTTGCTGCTAATCAATTCTTACAAGTCTCAAGGGATCTGACAGTTTGATGGGTGCCAAGGCCAAACTGCGTACGGCGCTCTCTTTAATTGGAGAGTGAATGGGATATGACCAAAGTAGATGCGATATGACCTGATCACTGTTACAAAATTGTGAAATTGTGCTGTATTGCCCTTAAGGATTTGAGAAATGTAACGAGTGGCGTTAAATGCAGCTTTGCTAGTAACCGGAACACGTGTAAGGTGCACCAATATGGCTATGGCCATAACAGGGGCTATCCTTCTATTTTCTCTGAGGATTCGACGTTGGCTCCAATGCTTGTGTATGCTCCCTTTCTTTTCTTTTGTGATCAATGTTTATGTGGACTTGTGTTCTGTCTGGAGCATATTCTTTTCTTTGAAGTGAAAGTGCTGAAAGATCGTGATATGCCTGTAAAATATTTGAGTCCATAGCTGTGCAATTGGTCTCCCATTCGATCGTATTTATTCAGAGGGAGTTCTGTAGAACTGATATCCTTCTAAGTTTTTCGCATGAGAGTTTTAGAGCCTTTGGAATGATGGAATGGCGCAAAGAATATGTTCTGTTCACATTCACGTGATAGAGGATTCCTGCCATTCGCTCTTAACCAAGAAACGCCTTCATGCAATACTGTAGTAAAACACCTACATCTATACTTCTTGCACATTAGGGACCCAGTAGATATGCCATACAATTTCTGCATTGTTTAGTTTTCCTTGTTTCATAACCAAATACATCTGCATCCAAAGATCAAACGGATCATCGAACAATCAATTTAGTTACTAGTAGCTCATGTGAACAATCCGGTTCTCGAAATTGCGTAGGCCATGCATCATTCAGTGGAAACGAAAGAATAGGCTGACCAAATTCTACCGAGCAACCTTTAAGTTAAAATACCTGATATGGTGTTCATAACCTGCCATTCCCAATTACTCCGTAATACATAACTTACAGATAACACTACAGAGAACCGTCATCCTCTTTTTAGATAACAGAAGGGTGTTACTCCCGGCATCTACATCGTCCGATACAACCATCACTCTACAACAATCAGTCAAACACTGTACAAACTGGACACACGCTATCAGGTCACAGTGGGCTGCATACTGTACCAAAGACCTAGTTACTTCACATCATTCTAGGAAGCTCTGCAAACGCTCCTTGCGCCGCGCGCCTTTCAGCATGTGAACTTGTCGATTTCTACCAGTAAGTCATTATCAAGTATCGATGATGTTGCCTTATCAGATGCACCCAATTCAGCCTGCATTTAGACCAGCATCGTAAGTGCACTGCTGAGATTTGGTTTTGGATAGAAAGAACAAAACCAAATGCACTCTAATGCGTTCTACATAGCTGTCAACATTTGGAGTTCATCTATGAAAAATAAATGGTATTTTCTCTTCAGAAGTATTTTGTTTCAAATTGACACTGTGCATATCACTACTTTATGCTTTACACATCAAAGAGTAAGATTTCCCTACATATGGATTCGCCCCCTTGAAAGAGGTTAGCACCTCAGTCCTTTTGTTCTTTGAGAAAATTGCTCTTTATCTTTCTAATATTTCTAGATCATGGTATGAACTATAGTTTCATTGGGCAACTTGGCTTGTGATCACAACATTGTTTAAATGTCAAATCCATGAACTACTTACAGTTGCCTGGCGAAATTCCTCGAGCATTCTACGATACTGCATCCTTGCTTCAGGAGAGTCCACCATGGACAACACTCTTGACACAGACTCCTTCACAGATTCATCAACCTTCTGCCGACGGAAGATCTTGACTGCTTCATCATCATCGAAGTCATCATCGTCTTCCTCCTCTCCCTCTTCTGCTTCAATCATCACTGATTGTTCGGCTCGGAAGCCACGTAGGCCATGTCCTTTCCGGCGCCACCTTAGTATTACTTTCTCTAGCACACTAACAGTGCTTACAAATGTCTTGTACTTCTTTCTCACTTGGTGACCTCTTACATGAGCCTGTACAAAGTGAGGTCTTTAATGTTAGCAAAGTAAAACACAACCTACCTGATATCACGTACTAGTTCAAAGCCCAATCATATACCAGCAAGTTCAACTTGAATGCAGTTTTTAAACCAAATATTTATAACTCTGTTACCTGTATTTTAACCACATTTCTGCGCATGTGGAGAAAATTCTTGCGCCCTTTCCAACCTCTGTATTTCTTCTGAATTGAAACAGCTGCTTTATCACAAAACTGACCGTTCGAAACATGATGTTGGTAGTATAACCTTGATGCAGCTGCAAGTTCATCTATATCTTCTTGTGTCATCCCATATTCATCCTTAAGTCGAGCGTCCTTGTGTTGTCTCCTCCTGAAAGAAAAGGCACGGAAGGCATTCTGAATTCGTGCCGCTGCTTGAGCTGCATTTCTCACAGCCGCCAAAGAGTCTTTCAGTGAGAGTTCATCCTCTGTGCCCCCATGAAGTTGGGCACTCCTCTGAGATATGCTCTCTACTGCTCGCTCTGCTTCAATTGCAGCTAATCCATCTGAAATACCACTCTCTTCTATAGTCAGCGATGCAAGATAGCTAGTTAACGCCACTTCTGAAAGATAGCCGGCAAGGCCCACATGTCCTTGCTCAGAAGCCAGGAAAGCTGCTGATTTGCCCACTGGATCTTGTGCAGTGGGATCGGTGACTGCTGGAGCTGAAGCACCAGCAGCAAGAAGTGCAGCAACCATCTTTTCCCTGCAATAAAAACAGACTTACTTAACAAGGTTGCTTGCTAGTTCCATGCCAATAAATTGCAATACACGCTAACATATGGAGAGAGATGTAAAAAAATAATACACTGTCATTTCAAGATATGCTGATGTATTGCATTTTGTGTGCACAAAATTCATTAGTCAAGACATCTTGGATGCTAAAAGGTTATCTTTTCTATTCAACATACAGTGTCCATTTCTACTTCACTTGTGACCTACGTTCTGCAGTTGGGCATTACTTGTTACAAAGTTAGTGGCATGGGGGCTGAGAGTACCCAAGTACAACCACATTTGAAATTTTGGAAAAACAACGGTTTCTTCAGCCAATGGAAGAATATATTATTTGTTTATAAGAACTGTAAATAACTTTTTAGGAAGTTAAGAGTTATAATAAACAGGTTTGCTAAGGCACATCTAGATGTGCCTTAAGTATTGCACATCTAAATCCTATACCATTGATTTTACGTTAAGATTCGTCCTGGTTAGTCAAAACGGAATCTAAATAACCAGCGGTAGAATATATTTTTCTGATTACCTTCCATAATAAGCAGCCCAATGAAGTGCAGTCCATCCATTCGAATCACGCAAATTTATGCCAACGCCAGCACTGAGAACTGAAGACAGTGCCCAGTCATAGCCCAACGCAGAGATTAAGTGTATGATACCTTGCTCATTTTTGGACAGAGAACACGTTCCATCATCTCCTTGGAGCCTCAATGATAACCACTGTTGTAATTTACTTTTCAGCAATTCCTCCATGATCCAATCAACCCTGCTTAGTGGATTTTCACATCCTACATCAAGTTCATTAATCAACCGCTGCCAGTTATCCTCATTCATTTTAAGTTTTGGACTCTGTCCAGGCTGAGGATCATCACCTGAAGCTGCAGAGGATCCGTTGTCACACAAAAGTATTCTTGCAAACTTGGCAAGAAGTGACAACTCTTCAGTAGACTTCATAGATGACGGTGCGAAATCTATGAAACTAGAGGCCGTTGACTTTGCACGGAACTCAAAGTCCTTGATTTCACTGCAAACTTTTCTATTCCCAGTGGTAATACAGAGTGTGAGCTTTCCGGCACTGTGTAGTGGCGTGTGGCAGCGGAGAACACCTGGCTGAACAATTTCAACAGGCACCTCAGTGTCACCGAACATTACTGCCCAGCATATATTCGACGGGTCACACAAGAAATCTCCAGTAATGATGACCTGCATTGAGAGAGGAACAACAAGACGTAAGAATAGTTGGTGTTAAGACGTAGAAAGCTAAAATGTTTGTGGTGTACCTTGGTGACCTCATAGCAGAATGCCCATTCTGGAGAGATCTCACGAATGCTAAACTGTTGCTTCTGTTTCACGGTTAATCTTGTATCTTCTTCGGAGGACGGTTCAAACTGGCCATTGTCGAAGAACTCTGATATTTCATAGCCACATGAATTGCTTTGGTACAAACTGCTTTGAAGTGTTACAGGTGTTGTTCTTTGCCAATCCGGGTTCAGACAGCTTTCAAGACTACTGTCATGAGCTGAAAGAGTATTAATGCCATTGATTCCTTCATCTCTTGGTATATAAGATGGTGAGTCGATAGGGTCTTCTGATCCCAAAAGAAATCTTTTAGCGGCAGAAATTTGCAGCTGCAAATTACTGCTGTCTAGGCCTCCTGGTGGTTGATATTCCGAACTTTGCTGATAGTGGGCACCAAACTGTTCATGGTAAAATGTAGGTGTCAACACAGTTCACTGAGGGTGGTAACAAAGAAAGAATCACCACTCTTTACATAGTAAAACAACTGTTATAGTTCTGGGCATGGTAAAGTACGTTCTGACCACAATTTTGACATGGAGCCAACAAGATGGTTAGGACATTTCATTTTATGCATTCTGTTACTAAAGTACTCCCTCCGTCTCAAAATTCTTGTCTTAGATTTGTCCAAATACGGATGTATCTAGTTATGTTTTAGTGTTAGATACATCCGTATCTAGACAAATCTAAGACAAGAATTTTGGGACGGAGGGAGTAGTACTATCATGGCCCAAACCTTAAATGCACAGCAACTTAAATGCCCTCGATGAATTAGTTAAAGAAAGTGTCTTTCAAGGTATTAGACCATGAAGACTTTGCAGGTATCCCTCTTAAAAAAGCAATCAGAATAACACAGTAGACTCTTCACAACTCATTCTTTACGTTGAAGAAATCACACGAGGATAATAAAAATCAGTCACCATTTCCTTACCTGGTATGTAGATGAAGCTGG